GATTTAACCAATGAATAGACCATATTCTAGAATCGGTAGCTAGGTTAAGGTTACATCCCCAAATTTCGAGGTCCTAGAAATACACCTTAATAAAATTTAACCAATGAATAGACCATATGCTTCCATGTGGATATATAATTTTTTCGCTAAATATAAATATAATTTAGTATTTTGCATTTGAATAACATATATGATCTAAGGCAAAAATATTATATGCTTTTCTAAGTGCAAATCCTATACTTACTCCCTCCTAGGAATGGGTCCATGGCTAAGTGGTCAAGGTGGTTGCCCACCACAACATGACATCTTAAGTTTCATTCTTACTATGGGTAGAGAACTCCATCCCCCACCGAACTACCGCATATATAAATTTGGTCAAAACTATGTGTTGAACTTAAAATCTATTTTTTTCCTTAAAATATACTCATCGAGTAATCTAGAGTGGATTCCCAAATTCAAGATATCCTCTCCTATCTTTTTGCTTGAGAGAGTAGATGCACAATATGCTCTAATCAAAGTACTACACTACAATAAAATGTAAAAGGTGCGGTTTCTATATGGTTGCAACCTTAAACAATCCAATTAAAGCGCACCCCAAATTATATCATAACATGTCATTTTGTTATAAAAAATTCTTAGTATTATCTTAAAATCTATTTTCGTACCTAATTAGAAATTTTTAAATTCAAAAAATAGTTAAAATCAAGTAGATTTATAAATATATGAAAATCTTGAAAATGGACAATTTATATAATATGTTGCAAGATACACTATTTCCAGGACTCAAAAAAAATTTTTTTTTTTTCATATACATACATCTTGATGTCGAGATGATCGATTAGAGGGTTTTTTCAACATTAAAACAGCATTTCCAATAGATTTTTGAGGTGCATCTGTGATTCTACATTTTAAGATTGCAACTACATTTTAAGATTGCAACCTTATATAAACTTTTCCCAAATGTAAATTCACATAAACTAAAGATATTGGGGAAACCAGACTGATTTACCTTATCTTTTATTTGTTCATTGTGGTTTTCTTAACCTTTGTGTATCTTTTCTTTTTCCCAAAGGAATTTTTTACAGGAAAGTTCCAACAAAACCTTAATCCAAGCAACCCAAAAATTCTTAACGAACAGAATTTGCTGCCATTATAATTAAATATAACAAAAGAAACTACTCATTCATTTCTCTTTGGCACGAAGTGGAGTGCTATTGGAATTATAGTAAATACTGTTGTCTTGTAGAAAAATCTCATCTTTAAACCAAGGTATTCTTAATGTTCCCTTCCAAAGAATGTGCTATATTTCCTTGACATATTTTGTCATCTTAAAGCAAGAGAAACACCCATGCTCTCAGTTGTCACACCCTCAAAATCACCTACCTTTCATGGGACCTTACGTTATCTTTCTATTGAACAGCCTGAATATCGTAACATTGCATAAACCCAATAAAACACATGTTCTCTGATTTATTATCTATCTATACAAGTATTGGTTTGGTTAAAAGAAGTGCATCAAAATTTACCTATTCGGATCAATAATCGACTATCTAGATCAGGAATAGCCCAAAAAAACATTCTAGTTCTTGGGCTGAATTGGTGGGTTCATTTAGTTTGTAGTTTTTAACGCGGGAAAAGTTTATATAAAGCATCAACCTTATAGTGTAAAAGGAAGATATGTTTCAAAAACCCATCAAAAAAAGGTTGCTTTTATGCTGTAAAACCCTCCCAATTGATCATCTCGACCTCGAGATCTATGTACATAGAAGGGAAAAGGTTTCAAGACCTTAGAATAGTACATCTTGTAACATATTATACGGATCGTCCATTTTGAAGATGTTTTTCAAGATTTCCAAATATTTATAGATCTGATCAATCTACATTACCTTTGAGGTTTTAACTCCCATACTTAAAGGACAGAATAGATTTCCAACCCATCTGAAAAAAAAATTTATACCAAAATTACATCTTTCGACAAAGCTTTGAGGTGCGTCTTACTTTTACTATTGATACCTTATACAAACCGTGCCTTTTAAATACATAATATTACTTAATTCATAAATCGGCCAGCTTTTTTAGTTATTATGAAACACTTATATTTTTGATATGTATTGTATGATGTGGCATGTATATCATATGGTTTTTAAGGTGTGACCTCATAAATATACTATCCATTTAGTCCATCAGGAAAACCCCAACTAGGGTTAATTTTTGGATCCTAAATTTTGGGAATATAACCTCTTCAATTGATAGGTTAACCTCAATAAAACAATTTCCTAACTGCACTCGCTACGTACCTGAGAAAAAATAATGTCTCAGATTGAATAAGAGACCGTCCAATTTTCAGAAGGTAAAATTTAAGTGTTTGAAAACTCTAATTTCAATTTTTTTTTTTCTTTTGAGAATAATCATCTAGTGATTTTCAGGTCGTTCCAAAATTTCAAATGAAAAATCATCTCAAGTAGGTCTTAACCGGGGGAGTCAGTGAAAACCATAGTTATAGTATACATCCCAAGTAAGTTTTTGAACATTACTAAAAACTAAGTGATTCGATCTACCGACTTTGAGATTACCGCCTGGGAGGTCTAACCAATAAAACAATGAACATGATCTCTTAAATTTTTATATTATACACTAGACATACATATGTTTGGCATACATGACAGATGAGAAATATAAACTCTAAAAAGTAACATTTAGACATGACACATCCATACAATATATAAGTGTATGTATGTGTGTGTGTTGAGACTTGAAATTTTTTATAATTTCCATTTCATATTATCAAACAGAATGGACTCTTTTTGTTGATCAAGCTTTTTATCAGGACAAAGGTAGTACGAACCACTAACAATTGTAATAAATACATCAAAACATCGAGACAAAAAAAAAAAGTACAACAAACTAACAAGAAAATTGAATTTTTTTTTTATAACCAAATACTTTTACTTCGGCAAATACTACAAAATATCAATTACATACAAAATCTAAACTAAGATAGACTATAATGCATACTATCAGTGACGAAGAAAGTTATAGACTCAAATAAAAGAAATATAATAATTATATAATAACTATCATTAAATAAAACATATAATAAACAAAATAATCATAGACCCATGCCAATTATTGGCGGATAATTGGCTCGTAATAGAGTTTTTACGGTTACACATCCTATTCTTTGTAAGCTAAGTATGATGCCTTTGAATGCAACAATCAATTAATAGAAAACAGGGATTATTATAATAGAACTCTTTACGATGATGCAATAAAAAAATAGCTATGCATAATGAGACTCCTTATATACATTATCGGTGCACTGTTTTATATGGTAGTGAAGCCTATTATGAAGATATTGACTACTAAATCTTCCCAAAACAATAGAAAAACAATGTAAGTTAGATATACAAATGCACCTTACACACACAGCAAGATGAAAAAAAGGGAAAAAGGGAAAGGTTGAAACAGAAGAAAGATGGAGATTCTTAAGAGAATCCCTAGCAGTTTTACTAGATATGAAAGAAAAATGGATACTTCATTTTAAACAAATAAAATAAAAATGGCATTTCTTTAGGAGTGGGTATATCCCAATTTTCATTTCACAAGATGATTTATAAATAAAATAGTTTTAGACATGACTTAGACTAAAGCTATCCAAGTTGTTTATTTAGATTGGTTCACTTAGACTAAAGCTATCCAAGGGACAGAAAGGGGGATGCGATTCTCAACTCAAATAGGCACCCGTGCCCCTCTCTCCTTCTTGAGCCCCACATGTGACGTTCCTTTCTTCTCACTCTCTCACCCCCCAAAAGGGACAATCATCTATCTATAACGAGGGGGAAAAAAGCTATCCCTTGGGTTCTATGCAAGGAACTCTCCGGTAATCCGTGCCTTAAGTCTTAGGATTTATGCTATATATGGTATTTTTGGTTCTAGTAATCACAAGACCGGCTAAAATTGCTAAGGTTATCTCTCAGTTTTCAAAAGAAGTACGAGCTGGGATGAAGAGAAAGAAATTCACATAAAAAGTCATCAACCTTTAAGTGGTGTATAATCTCTCAAATCTTTGTCCATTCTTACGATTAATTCTGTGTTTCCACTGCATTGTGACTCGCCTAGAGAGCCAACAAGTAGTTCTAACTCATCACACATTCAAACAGCCTGGCCCATTCACAACATGAATTAGTAAATTTGAATGAAGATGGCTGAGCACTTTTCTAAGTAACAAAGTAATTAAGATTTGAGCTTCTTCTGTTGCACATTGCCATCCCCCACTTCCAAAGCCCACATGGAGCTCCGAGATAGTCAACCTTTTGGGAACATTTCGATGCTGCAAGGTTTTAAACTTCTTAGAAGCATTGGGAGAGATTTTGGGACTGAAAGATCAATATGGAAATAGGATCTCTTTTCACAAGATAGAAAAGTAGACCAAACTTAACTATATATTATTTCTTATAGCCCTGAGACTTCAATATGAGGAACATGAGTCTATAATTAAATCTTGGACCAGGTTCAATTTCTAGCTGTTTTAGATGGATCCTGACTAGCCATGTTCCAGGGAACTGAATCAATAATTGCAAATAATGAGAGCTTACAAAATTGATTCTCTGGAAAAAAAATTAATGTCATTTGAAGTTTAGAATTGGAACCAGCAAATGTAGGTAACCAGGAGGGTCAATTCATTGTATTTCTAATTTCTCGTACATTATTGCGTGCTCAATCTAAGACAAGGTTCAGCCTTTATCTCAGTTCCATCACTTGGGCTCTTAGTTTGCGCTCAGGCTGGTTAGCTATTTGGCACAACGTGTTTCCCTGTCGCGCTTGCGATACTCCTATGGTTCGCTAATTCTTGATTCTATTTTCATGGTATTCCTTGTACCATATGTTTGGCTTTCAAATGTGAATAAAAACTCTCAATCTGTTACGTTTAAGTTCCATGTAAGACTTGTGTTGCTGCTCATACTTAGATTCTCTATTCTTACATGACATGAATGATGTAGATTGCAGAAGTAGCAGGAAAATTGAAGGTTCCTGTGGTTTCCGATGAAATATATGGGCATATCGTATTCGGAGGAAGTGAGTTTGTACCTATGGTCTCATTTGCTTCCATCACTCCCATAATAACTATTGGAGGCCTATCCAAACGTTTCCTTGTCCCTGGATGGCGACTAGGTTGGATAGCCCTCTCTAAACCCCAAGGATCTCTCAAGCAAACTCGGGTAATCTTCATTCTGGAGAGAGAGAGAGAATCTATCATGTCTGAATTGGTTCGGATCTATGCTTGCCTATGCCAGACAAGCTTCTTTTTATCGGAACTCTCATAGTGGCGTTGCAGTATGTATCAGTTTATAGTGGGGCCCTTCTTTATTTTGAGAACTTTGAACTTGCAGATCAAAGAAGACATTGAGAAGCTCATGAACGTAATTCCTGGACCTTCCTCCTTCATACAGGTTGAACTTCTACCGTCTTTTATAGTCATGTTGGTATGTTGTTTCTATAAGGCCGAGGCTCTGAACCATCAAAGTAAGGTGCGTCTTCAAATAGCGTCGAAAGATGTTGCTTCAATACTGGAAATCTTTGTGATGGTCTGAAAATTTATTTTTATTTTAATTATAAAATTTAAAGTTTAAAAAGTTGTGTAGATCGAGAAGATCTATGAACACTTGAAAATCTTGAAAATTGACTGTCCATAAATACATTACCAAATATTTACTATTCATTTTTTTGTCATATCCGTACATCTTGAAGTTGAGCCGATCAATTTGTGAAATTTTGAGCATTAAAACAACCTCTTCTAATGAATTTTTGAGGTGCACTTTAATTTTATTGTTTAGAGCCTCGCACTTATATAAACTTTTTCCTCTATGTTACGATGCTTCAAACAAATGCCATAACCAGAGACGGAATGGTCCTAATCATTTTCCGAGAATGACTTTAATATATGTGTATATATGACTGTCTCAAAAAAAAAAAAATGAGTCCATATATGTATGTGTGTGTATATGTATTTATGTACTTTAGGGTGCTTTACAAAGGTATAAGAAAGGTCTCAATTCAATCAGGCTGCACTTCCTAGCATATTATCAGACTCAAACCAACATTTCCATGAGAACATGATCAGTTTGCTGGGGTCATGTGCTGATGCTTGCTACTCAGGAATTGAGCGTATCAAAGCTCTATATTGCCCTTCCAAACCAAGGGGATCGATGTTTATCATGGTTTGTAATGGCGGTTTCTCCTTTCCAATATTTCACCATCTCCTCTGTGAAACCAAGCAACTTATAGTTGATGCTTCTTTTGGCATATCGCAGGTCAAGGTCCAAATTTCGCTTCTCTCAAATGTGAATGATGACGTAGAATTTGCAACAGAGCTCATGAAGGAGGAGTCGGTCCTAGTCCTACCAGGTCAGAAATACTTCTTTTTGTGGATCTCCAAACATTTTTTAGAAGAAAGTACAGGATAGCAGGGTTCTGTATGCCATGGCGTACACAGTCAGGTGTCCATCGTGATGAACAGTGGAGATTAAATTTAGTTCCATCACATATTTCCCTCATCCAACAAACAAAACTAAGGTTCATGTCAACTATATCGATGATGATGAATTGTGATGTCCTTTTGTGTATGCTACAGTTCTATGGTACACAGGCTATTTATGCAAATAGTTCCCTCAAGAGAGAACAGTGATCTCCAAAATGAGACGAAATCTGATAAATCTTCCAAAGTTTAGATGTAACAAGTTTTGACTATTTTTTAGCAGATGTTTGACATGACCCCTCAAGAGAGATTGTGGTTTTTATTGTAGATATATCTTATTTGTTCAAGTATTTGGTTAATGTAACAAGTGTTGTGCTAACTAGCTCTCTACGTATCATCTTTTTCTTATGGAGTTTAGGTATTGATCTTTTCCGTATTTTTGTTCCAAATATAGAACTCCCGAATTCTCAAGTTCCCCATTAATTGCTGAAAGTTTGAGTGACTGTGCCATGTGCCAGGTTCCATTCTGGGGTTGAAAGATTGGGTAAGGATACATTTTGGAGCTCCTCCAGAAATATTGGAAGAGGCACTTGATAGGATTGAATCCTTTTGTGAGAGACACAAAAACTGCAGGTAGAAGTTAACGAGCAAGAGCGGTGATGGATGCACCACACAGACATCGATTCATTCATTCACTTGGATATTTTGCTCATTCTTCAAGACTTTGGAGCAGCACAATTGCGTTTGCATAACTGGAAACCGAAACAATGTCGGGGGATCATTTCCCTTTCTTTATTCCTTTTTTTGTTTTTTGTTTGACTGCCAAAAGACTTACTCTGCCAATTTATCAAAAAATAAAGAGAAACAGAGAAAGCTACCGGATGTTACGGCTTCTTGCAACTGCTATTCTTTTCACCTGTAGCAAAAATGGGGATATCCCAAAAAGACTGAACACTTGCTTTATTCATGTGTTTGTCTCTTAAGGTTTTGTACTCATGCTCAGACTTGAGAGAGGTCAAGGATTTGATCGGTTCAAGAAGGTAAACGACAGCTACATAAGAGAGCATTCATCACCAATATTCTGCCATGTAGATTTTGAACGTGGAATTTTTTTTTTTTTTAATGTAGATTATTAAAACAGATACTGAAAAGAAAACAGAGATATTCAAATCAAACCCACCTAGAGGACATTCAAGTTGTGACTTTGATGGGCAGCAAATTGGTGACGCATTGTTAAATGCATTGTACATGACTCGGACAACCGCATCTGTGGGTAGCATTGGTATTGGAACCAATAATCAAGTGGAAGCAACGACCATTTTGGCCCTAGATTGGGCATTCATTGTTCGCAAATTGAGGGACACTGAGGCCTAAACCAACATATAGAAATTGGTTGGAAGATCAGAAGATCAATGTGGGAGTGGGGCACTTGTAACCAGAATAGAATGAGCTGAAATCATGCCTAAAGGGGGTTAACAGTGCCACGGATAGCCTGGCAATATCGTGCACTGCACTTGAACAATAGCTCACACAAAAGTGGATAGGTTCAAAACCAACTCCTCTCAAAGAACTACGATAGTGGTCATCCTATGCATTGTTTTAAGTTGTTTTTAGCTCCAGCCCCTAAAACAAACTGAATCAAATATCCTGGTGTACTGGATCAATAAACGATGCTTGCAAAAATCACTGACGTATTCCAAATGTCAAAAATACTCTTCTTGAATATTCATAATTGCAATAGATCCTCAATACATTGAAAAGCTTATTTCTTAAATGCCTACTTCCACTTTTCTTTTTTTTCCCTTATTTTAAAGTACATCCCCAACATTCCCTTGGATCAGCCGAGGAACCAAACATTTTTTACTTTTCCTGCCCAAACAAAGAGTTTTCTGAGTAAATCTAATAGAAGTGATCCTTGGTGGTGCATGAAATGTAGTTGTGAGCGTTAAGAAGGCTAATGACTTTTGCCTCTTGATACTAACTTTTTCCAGCATTAATTTATGATTTTTGCCTCTAAAAAAATGGCAGAATGGGACCAGAGTGTGCGTAACATAATCTGCAAGTTATCCTGAGTGAGATCATGAGCCAACTTCCACTCAAAAAGGTTGCCAAATTCTCACAATCTTGCATAATTTTTTTGCCAAAAATAATGGGTTAACAAACCCAAAGAATTCTCTTTAATGACCAAACAAGGAACCAACACTTCTTTTGCCTTCTTGATAGATCCAACATTAAGGTGTCCATCTAGCTTTTGATCCAAAGAAAGGTTCGTGATGGGAAGGTCTTCCATGTCTATGAAACAACTGTTGTTTTATATCATGATGGCCCCCCTAACCCCAAGGTGACTTACCCAAGAAAAAGTTATAAAACAGATTTCCCAGCAATTCCAAAAAGAGTAGGCATCCAAACTCGTGCCTCAGACAGTAGTATGTCTCAAGTTTTCAGCTTGGAGCCAATCAGAGAAGGGAATATCTTCCCCCGGTGGTTGAAAATCATGAAGTCCAGATTGTCTGCTAAAGAAACAAACCTGCACATCATATAGTTCATAAATATCGCCATCAGGAAACTGATAACCAGAGTGCTTAAACAGAGGAATTGTCATTCAAGGATATTGCTAAGACACGATAATCATGCCCATTGACAAGTAGGGAGCAACCAGCATTTAAAAAATAAAAAATAAATATATCTATGGTATTCACTTTGATTTATAAATCACTATAAGAATAAACTTCAAACTGATGATCTAGATTACCCAGATACTTGTGTCAAAATATGCACCATACAGATGAAAATGTACCATTTATTTCATAAAGGTTACAGAACATAGAGCATACTTCATTAGTTGCCTGTCTGCCATAACACACTTACATTTGCACATGCATGTCCTAAACTTTTGTATATGAATCATATGAGCCAGCCCTTATATGAGAGCCTAGACCTCATCAGTCCTTTCCATTGTACTGGCGCCCTAATGTTTGGGTAGGAAAAAATTTTGCTCAATAAGGTCAAACTCCCTACAACCTCCTCCACAGATAAGATTGACTCATAATACTCGAGGGCGATTGTTTATCACTCTTCAACCCACCTAATTATGTTAAGGCATACATGCTTGCACAAAGTGCTCAAACATTGACACATATCTACCACTATGTATTTGCCTGTCATGCCCAGAGTACAAAATAAAGGATATGGTTTATGATATTGAAACTACATTCAAAACTTTTTGTTCAATTCTGGAATATATTTGAGGTGTTTAATAAATGCCCAAACTTTCCTAGTAAACCTGGACATTGTCTTCTTTAAGTGAGGCAGATACAACAGCTAAGGAGATCGCACCAGCACTTCCTGCTAGTCAACAAATACCTGCTAAAAATTTCTTAATTTACCCCAAAAACGGTATCGAGAGTTGACTCTCTTGCAAACTTAAGCCAGATTTCTTTGTGATATCTAATCTCTCATGAGGCATCAAGTTCCGGTGAACACACTCAATCTATTCATCCGAGATCAGTTAGCAAAGGTACAGGTACCAGTTACATGAATATGTTTCACAATGTGCATATGTACGTGTTATGGGGCCCAGGAAGTAAGTCGAAGGTCACCTTGCTATCCTAGTCAATGTCCTATTCAAACAAAAAAAAAAGTATCCTAGTCAATATTAGGAATGAGAATGCAATTTGCAACGCATGATTCACCACTACCCACCTTGTGGTATGATTAGTGTTGACAAACATATCCCTATCTGCATTAAACAATAGGATGAAACACACTCATTTAAATAGCAATATTTTTTCTCGCTTAGATGTACATAACTTTATCTTTCATGATTGGAATATAAGCAGAAGAGTCGATGTAATTTCCTAGTAAGAGACAATCTTTGGTGAGAATGATGCATGGCATTTATGTGCTTTGATAATGGTCATGTATGAAAAGATAATGAGGATATAAAAAGGTACATGGAGTGGGGAAAGAAATGAGATGGGTGACGCCATTCTTGATTTTGCTATGGCTTACGACCTAGCAATAGTAACATCTACTTTAGAAAGCAAAATGGACATTTAATAACTTAATGGAACAAGTAAAGCCAGATAGATTGTTTTCTAGTTAAGAAGACATAACGACCATCATGTAAAGATTGTATCCCAAGAAAGAGTTTGACCATGCAATACAGTCTCATGGTTATGGATGTCTGCATAAAGGGATGGAAAAGGAGTAAAATTAATAGGGGTTCAATAACTAGTTAGTGGAATTTAAAGTGAGAAACAAATAGACTTATCTACGAATAAACCAATAAAAGAAGAAAAATGGAATTCCGAAGACGAAGTTAACATTATATGGAAGGAGATGGTTGATTGTATTAAAAAAGTGGCAAAAGAAATTTTAGGAGATTCTAGAGGGAATAGACAAATAACAAAACTTGGTGGTGGAGTAATGAATTTGAAAAGGCTATTAACGAAAAATGATCATGTCACAAAGCTTGGCAATGGAATAGAAAGTATCAAAATTAGAAGAATATAAAAATGTCAAGAAGAATGCTAAGACAATAATAAGGCTAAGCTTAAGGCATACGATGATCTATACAACAAACTGGGGAAAAGAGAAGGTAAAAAAGATTTCTTCAAACTAGCAAAAATGAGAGAGAAGTATAAGGATCTAGATTATGTTAAATGCATTAAGAATGAGGATCAGATGGTCTTGGTGAAGGATGACAACATCAATGAAAGATGGAGAATTTATTTTAAAAAACTATTAAATGACGACTACTCTGGGAGTACAGCATTAGGAAGAACTTTTGACATAAATGAGATCGGAGGTCATAGATACATTTGTATGATTAGGATATCTGAAGTGTAAGAAGCTTTGAGAAACATCAAGATAGGAAAAGTGGTAAGACCAGATGGTATACCAAAAGAGGTTTGAAAGTGCATGGGATAGATTGACAACTCCTAATTGACCAAGTTGTTGAATAAGATTTTGAGAACAAAGAAAATGCCAGACGAATGGAAAAAAGTATTGTGGTACTTAACTACCTATTTCAAGGGATCAAACTTATGAGCCACACTGTGGAGTTGTGGGAGAGAGTGATTGAGCAACGACTATGACATGAAACGAGTGTATCAGAAACAACTATTGAGGAATTTTATGGCTTAGGAATTTGATTGAGAAGTGGGGGGGAAAGAGAAAAGACCTCCATGTGGTCTTTATTGATTTAAAGAAAGCAAACAATAGGGTATCTAGATAATTAATCTAGTGGGTATTGGAAAAGATTGCAGTCCCTAGAAGATATATTGACATAGTGAGGAATATGTACGAGGGAGTATTAACTAGTATGAGGAGTGAGGATAACTCGTGGAGAGACAAGTGAGTTTTTAGTTACAGTAGGCCGACATCAGAGGTCAGTATTGACCCCATATCTCTTTGCTTTGGTTATGCACAAATTACTACGCATCTACACGATAAGATATTCTGGCACATGTTAGTTAACAATGATATACCTTTGATTGATGAGACCAAATATGGCCGTCAGCTTGAAGTTAGAACTTTGTGGGGGTGTTCACAAAACTAAAGGTTTTAAGCCGAACAAAGACAAAATATATAGATTGCAAGTCTTGTAATAATAGGAGTAAAAATGCAAAATTAGTTAAGATTGATGGCCACAAAGTACCTAAAAGAGATTATTTTCGATACATTCCATCGATAATCCATGAGAATCGAGAGATTGACGAAGATGTCGCGCTTAGAATTAGAACTAGGTGGACAAAGTGGAGATGTGCTTTTGGAGTCCTATGTGATCGTCACATATCATTGAAACTGAAGAAAAAGTTCTATAGTACAACTGTAAGACCAACCATGCTTTATGGGATAGAATGTTGTGCAGTCAAGAAACAACCTATCCATAAAATGAGTGTGGATAAAAAGAAGATATTGAGATGGATGAGTGGCAAGAAAGAAATGATATAATTCAGAATAAGTACATCAGAGGGAACTTAGGGGTAGCCCCAATAGACAATGAGGGAAAGTAGACTTAGGTGGCCCAGTCTTGTGCAACATCGACCTAGATCAACATGGTTAGGAGGGGTGATTTGGCTCAAGTGAGAGCCTTTAAAAGGGCAAGGAAAGGCCCTAATAGACATGGATGGAGTAGTGAGAAGAGATATGGTGACTTATGTTTTGACTGAGGGTAGTCATTAATAGAGTGGAGCGGCGAAACAGTATTCTTGTAGCCGACCCCAAATAGTTGGGATAAGGCTCAGATGATGATAACATATGTATATCATGTCAGCAGCTGGCAAGGATACAGAGAGTATAACATAGGGTGTAATAAGGAAAGAAACCTAGTTAGGAATGCACAAAAGGCAAACGAAATGGAGGAAACAACAAACTCAATCAAGTAAATAAGAAAATTGCTAGGTTAAAGTCTTCTTAGTGGTGAAACCAGAGAAAAAGAAAATGCTCATAACGGTATGGGCAATAGGTGAGAAAGGAATAGATGCCATTAATGTCAAATAGGCAGCAATAATAATTTTTGGGTTGTTGTTGAAGCAGAAAGGATGGCATCCTTTGTGATATCCATGCATGGAAGTTTTTGCTGAAGGGTTATGGGTGGTCTTTATGGCCTTTATTCTCCAACATGCAAATTATGTGCATACATGAAAGCATAGTTAGCAACTCTCCGTTTAAAACATGATTTTTAGAAAAGATCTTCGAGTTCTTGAAATCCGCTAAAAACTTCAAGTTTTCCGAAAGATCTTCAAAAAATCACTTTGTTAATGGAACCGATATAAATTTGTATTTTATCTTTTGTCAAAAAAACTTTTCAAAAACACATCTTCCCTATAATTTTATTTTTTCATTAACTTAATATTGTTAATATAAAGATAAGCGCATTAATAGTGGGAGTAAATTAAGAATCTTGATTTAACTAAAAATATTCACAAATTTCACCAATAAATTCCTTTAAAAAAAGTTACAAATACAAGCTATATATTCCCCAGAAACTAAGATATCAAAACTTTCATATATCTCACAATAATAGGTACAGTTAGAGGAAGTGTAACTCAATGAAAGATCTTTTCTCCTTAAACCCATGGCGTCCTTATAAAGTGCAAGCGAGAGATTCAATGATACTAATGATTTAGGCAGCTAGGAATTCAATATGAGAATCAAATTTGCTTAGGCATTTTGTTGCTTTCTTTATGCATAGAGAAGTTTAATTAATTTCAGTTTTTATTTTTTATTTTTTATTTCATTAGTGTATATACAATATAGTATTTTGGATGGACCAGTATTTTACATATTTAAGTCTTTGTGTTTGAGTTTTAATTAACTGCAATCTTGTACTGAGGGTATTATTGTTTTTGTTTCATTTTATGCTCCCAATAAATCTATAATAGGTTTTGTGTTATGACAACAGAGCATGCATTGTTGTTGGATTTATTGAAAGATCAGGCAATAAATTGTGAAGTATTACTCTAATCATACTAGGTAAGGCTATAAAATTATTGTTCAATGGCTTTAATGTCTCTATAC